GGGCGATAGCGGTTGAAGCCCAGCTCCTGACCTCCTGGGTGGCTGACTCTGAGGCATGTTCTACACCATGTCCCAGAGAGGCCCCAGCAAGTCCGGGCCCATTGTATTGGCCTCCCTTCTTCCTCCCGGGTCTCACATCCCCACTCCCCTTCTGGTGCTCTGGGGTCACCTCCCACATACACTGCTGACATTCAAATCCTGGTCTTGAGGGATCCAGCCTAAGACACAGGCATTTGGGGCCTATAAAGGAACACTTGTCTCTGGGAGGGCAGGGCGAGAGGAATCGCAGGGCGTGGACTCACAAGGACCCCAGCTCAGTTTTTAAAAGAAATCTTGTAACATTTTTTCTCCAAAAGATGATAATATATTAGAAGGGGAAAAGTATGTATGTAGCGTTCTTTGCAAGTTGCACATGAGTTCTTTGAAGTCACTGAAGTCATCATATTTTCTGAGAGGAGCTATAATAAGAAAGGGGCAGGAGTGGAGAGGGTGTCTGCGAGCTTCTCAGGTGAACGTTTAACCTGCTCATTCTTTGCATGTTGCCATTAACAACCAAATGAGAATTGTTTTGGAAGCTAACTGGTTAGAAAGCGTTTACTTGATCCTTCTTCACCTCCCCCTACCTCACTCACACTCAGCCTTCACCTGAGCCGTTTACCAACCATCAGCCAGTGAATCTGACCTGCCAGCTGCCCCACTTGCAGACTCTGGCACGGGCTACCACTGGGACGGTGGCTGGCATGGCCCCTGGAGACTTTCCACACATCTTCTTATGGCTGGTCGTGGCTCCAGCGCAGGGGAGGCCCCCCGACTGAGAGCCAGGAGCTCGCGGGTGGTGATGGATCAAGGACCACGCCCATGGAGGGCAGACCAAGACCATCTCACTGCCGAGACTGTGGAAAGAGAGGAAGGTCACCAAGCAGTGAGGCCACAGCTTCAAAGTGGGGAGGACCCTGGACAAGTTCTGGACCCCCATCGGCTTACTCTGGAGTGGCCAGGACTCTGGGTGACTCACCCTTGGCCTTTCCTGAGCCAGCGCTGGGCTCTTTGGGTCTCCCTCATCCACAGCCCCCAGCACAGCCTCCTCCAGGAGCCCCACCTGGGCCCACAGTGTTGGCTGGACATTTAGATCTCTGACTAGACCCTTTCCCTGCCAAATAATGAAGCCCAGTGGGATCCATTTATCTGTTGTCATTTTATTCATCCAGTTGCTATTTGTTGAATGACAAGGAGATTTAAAATCAAAATAAAACCAAAACCAAACCCATTGCTGTCAAGTCAATTCCGACTCACAGCAACCCTATAGGACAGAGTAGAACTGCCCCCATAGGGTTTCCAGGGAGTGGCTGGTGGATTCAAACTGCTGACCCTTTGGTTAGCAGCCAAGCTCTTAACCACAATACCTGGATTTAGAACCCCAATTCGTCACTTACTGACATGGCCCATGGTCACACTGCTCAGCTTTGGGCTCTGGATTACCTCTTGGGTGAAAGGCAGCGAGGTGGGGAGGGCCAAAGCGGCATCGTGTGTGGACACGCAGTGGATGCAGCCTGACACTATCCGCTGCCTTCTCACCCAGGCTCCTCTCCCCTCAAATGCTGCAGTCTCCCATATTTGCTTAAAACCACGTTACTCCTCATGTAGGAAGCCCACGAGCCAGAAAGTAAAGAAATAGCTGGTTTCCATGTATTTGTGGCAAAATGCACCTCAGCCTCCACCCTTGTCTCCACCTATACTCTGATGATTTGGGACCTCACATAAGCAGTCCACGTGTGTAATTCTTCTGGTTGGCACCCATGAGTGATGAGCTGTTGTGATCAATACAGTCAGCGTGGCATGCGAGCTCTGGGTATGGAGGGGGGACAGGAGTGGTGACATGTCAACCCTGGGATTGTCTGGTGCTAGAGACTCTGCAGACAGACAGAGAAAGGCAGGTAAGCATCCCCCGTTTTCCCCGGTGGAGCGGGAGCAGAGTTGAGATTGCATCCTGAGCCCCTTTCGGAGGGAAGAAGAAAAAGGTCACAGGGTGGAGTATGGTCGCAAATGGATGCCGGGAGGTGGGATAGCAGCAGTGCGGATGTCCCTAGCCCTAGATTTTCTGGGTATGTGGCCTCTGTAGTGTTCTAGCTGGGGTCCTTGAGTGTGTTATGTGACCTGTCCCTCGGGTTCCACATCTACAAAATGGGAGTCATGGTTTTAGGTGAGGATCAAAAGGGACAGCGGGCGTCAAGGGCAGGGCACGTGCCTGCCTAGGGCAAGTGCTCAGTAAATACGCTCCACTGTCGTCCTTGAAGAAGTTTGTCACCAGCCCCCAGCCCCCTTCAGAACCGTCATCTCAGCCCTTCTCCGTCTATCACCGGCCCTTCCCTGTCCCCCATCCCAAGGGCAGGGAGCATTTATACAAAACAAAGGGGCCACCAGAGGAGAAGCGGCAAAAAGGTGGACAGTGGTTGCCATGTTTTCAGACCCAAAGATTGGGATGCAGGTCTGGGCAAGCCCAGGTAAATGCAGGCCTCACAGTCACAATCCTGGAGAGCCTGGGGCTCTGAGTGTCCATGAGGGAGTGGATGGGGCCACACACATAGGCCGTTCCTCCTCCTCCCTCTGGGCTTCTCCCTTTCCCCCCACTGGCCGTGACCCTCAGGTTTGGAAAGAGGTCAGAAGGGAACATCACTCATGTTTCTGATCACACTGGATTTCTGGAGGAGACAAGGGAAGTGGGCGAGGCGTGCGGTGGTTACTTGGGCCAGAACTTATTTACCTGGAGTGAGTCAGAAAAATTCAAAGCGTAAGGCTGAGTGGGCATCTCTTGAGAACACAGGGTATTCTGTGTGCAGAAGGAGGGTGGGGGCAGGGGGAGAAGAAGGACACCGTCACCAGCAGTGAGGTCTCAGGGAGGGGGCAGTAAGGGGCTCTCATCAGGGAGACTAGAGAGCTGCCTCCGTCTCTATGGGACAGAGTGACAGCACCTTCAGCCAGAGGCATCTGACCTGTGGAGGGAAGATGCTAGAATGGAGATGTCTTATTAACATGGCTGGAAACACTAAAATGCCCAGGGCCTGATGGATGGACATTTGGCTTCTTCTGTAGGCCCTTGGCCCCTCAAAGTGGTTTCTGTGGTTTCACATTTTCGAGTCCCTGGGTGGTGCAAACAGTTAATGCACTTGGCTGCTGAGCAAACTGTTATGTGTTCAGGTCCACCCGGAGGTGCTGCAGAAGAAAGGACTGGCAATCTACTTCTGAAAATCTGCCATTGAAAACCCTACGGAGCACAGTTCTACTCTGACACACGTGAAGTCACCATGAGTCAGAATGGACTTGACTGGCTCCGTCAGGCATTGGCTGGGGACCTCTCTTGGAGGGAGGACTTAAACTTCCAGGTATTTTTGAGTGAGGTGGCAGGCATCAGCCAAGGGCAGTTCTTGAGAGAAGAACGCATCCTGAGCCACTAGTGGGCAACATTCACACAACGGGGGCCAGGTGCACCAGGCCATTAATGAGGTCTGGGCAGGGCAGCAACAGGCCTTCTGCAGGGACAGAAAGTCATCCTCACCAGCTGGTAACAGTTTCCCTGAGGACTGTCTCTCTCCAGAGAGAGGCTCCGCGGGGAGCGCTGCAGCCATCAGCTAGTGATGTCTGCTGGAGGCGGGGCTGAGGGAGGAGCTTCCTGCGGCGCCTGACCTTTAACCTCCTGCAGAGAGGGGCGCCGTGAATTCCTGCTGGAGGGTCCAGGGGAGGCTTCATCAAGGAGGCGGTGATGTTAGAAGCCGGCCATGGAGACTGGATTTTATGAGAGGCAGAGCCAGTGTCACAGTTGAAACCTATGTAGATAAATAAATAAGCAAGCAAACGAACAAAGATATAAAAAGAGAGAAAATGCAGCGTGTGTTCAAGGATGGCAAATGATGTTATTTGGCCAGAATATGAGCACATGTGATATTCACTGCTGAATTTCCAGCTAGCGGGGTGCCTGACACACAGTAGGCATTGAGTGAGTGAACACATGCAAAGCATAAAACAGAGGGAAGGAAGGTCTGGGGCGGGAATCAGCCGGGATCAGCTTGGGACTGCCTGTCTACAGACTTCAGGCAGTTATCTCAGGGGACTGAAGGCTTTTGAGGTCCCTGCATGCTGTGAGTGGTTAACACACTGAGATGCTAACTGAAAGGTTGGAGTTTCAAGTCCACCCAGAGGTGCCTTGGAAGAAAGACCTGGTGATCTGTTCCTGAAAAGTCAGCCATTGACGGCCCTGCGGAGCACAGTTCTGCTCTGCACACATGGAGTTTGCCATGAGTCCGGGCTGACTCTACAGCAGCTGGTTTTTTATAGAAGGCTTTAGGCGAGGGGAGGGGCGTGAGCTGAGTTTGACGGCAGATACGGGTCTGGTGGGAGAGGAGAGTACAGTGAAGAACAGCGAGGGAGTTGTTGTAATAGGCAGAAATCCCGAGGACCCAAACCAGGGCGGGTACAGTGGGGATGGAGAGCAGGAGAATGAAGGACAAATGAGAGCGAGGTGCCCTTGAACCCTTTGTGCCCTGGACCCCTTGGTGAGCCAGTGAACCTAGAGGTCCCTTCTCAGAAAGCTATTTTCAATGCATACAATAAAATGCAGACGCTTGCAAAAGGGAACTGGTCATACTGAAAGGAAGTTGTCAAAATATTAGAGAATAAATGTGTGCCATAGGGATGCATGTGCTTCTTCACTGACGCTTTAAAAGGCCATAATACTGAAGAAGTGATGCGTGAGACCTGCGGCAAGTGGGATGCATTGCTGGGCAGAACCCCACGCTCTGCTAACACTGCTGTGGCTGGTGGCTGCCATTCCTCTCTGAAGGAAACGCTCAGCTCCAGCTAGAGATTCACGAAGATAAAGGTGTATGTTTTTTCTCCCCCATCCAAGTTCATGGAGCCCGTATTAAAACCAGGACTCTGAGATCCCAGACCTTGGGCAGTGCATATGTTGCCATCTGTACTGAGCTGCTCTTCTCTCCTCTCTTTAGCCCTGCACGAGTTCCCCAGGGACATCTTCAGTAACGAGGACAGAAGACAAGGGGCAGTGGTCCTCCATGTGCTCTGTGTAAGTACCACTCCCAGAGGGGGCCTGGCCAAGGTGGGGCAGGCAGTTAAGGGTGCTGCTGCCCAAGGCTCCTGTGCACAATCTTGGTGGGGTCCTCTGAGGGGTCCTCTGAGCCCTGTAAGGGGGTGGGGGAGCCTCCTCATTACTCACGAATTCCATATTCACAAACTCACCTTTTCACTAAAAACACTTATGGTGCCTTCACGGTGATTCACAGACATTCACATGAGCAGAATGGCAAAAAAAAAACTCCCTGCAGAGGTTGAACAAGGATGATGGTTTGGTATTGGCTCATTCAGTGATCATGGGGACTTTGTAGACTGTAAATGCTGCGAATAAGGAAGACAGATTGTACCAGTTTTTAAAGGCCAGAAGTTCATAGGCTGGAAGATGGCTGTATGTATTCTTTGCTTGATATTCATGTCAAAATCCTGGACTTTGAAGTCAAACCAATTTGCTCTCCACTATTTAACCTTGCTGTCTCTGCTCAGACACCACCCTCGTGGGGAGGCCTTTCCTGGCCAGCCTCTCAAAAATTCTTGTCCTCCCTTTTGTTGTTGTTATTGTTGTTAGTGGCTGTCAAGTCAACCTGTCACTCGTGGTGACCCAATGCACAATGGAACAAAACGCCGTCCAGTCCGACACCGTCCCCATGATCGGTCACAGATCAGACCATTGTGATCCATAGGGTTTTCATTGGCTGTTTGTCGGAAATAGATCACCAGGCCTTTCTTCCTAGTCTGTCTTAGTCTGGAAGTGCCACTGAAGCCTGTTCAGCATCATAACAACATGTAAACCTCCGCTGACTATAGGTGGCGGCTGCGAATGAAGTGCAGGAATCGAACTTGGACCCCCTGAATGGAAGGCGAGAATTCTACCGCTGAGCCACTTCATCTTCCCCTTACCCTGCTTTATTTTTCTCCAAACTGCTGGTGACTGCCTGACACAGTATATATTTATCTGCTTAGTGTCCCTCACCCTTACTCACATGTAAGCCCCATGTGTTTTGTGCATGGCTTAATTCCCAGACCCATTCCTAGTACTTGTAGGGACAAAGTATCTGTTAAATTACTGGGTTAAGTGTAATGGCAGCTGGCACCGTGTCTGGCACAGAGTAGATGATCAACAAAAGCTTCTTCCTTCCTTTCTGGCCTCTTAGTGTCCACCATTGCCCTCTCTGGCACCAGTGGGTCTAAAGTGTCTGACTTGTCTGGTCCCTGTTTGGAGAGTTTGGGGAGGGGATGAGGGAAGATGTAGCTGAGGAGCAGCTGCAGACGTGGAAAGATCTGGCTAGACTCTGGACTGGGTGTGTCCTGGAGCTTCCCAGCTCTGGGGCTCTCAGTCTCACCAGAATGCTTTTAATTCTGTTCCAGTGATTTATTGTTGAGAACAAACTCCCCAGTTTACTGGCATAAGCCAGTAGCCTCTTTATTATGCTGGTGGATCACGCGGGTCGAGAATTCAGAAAGGGCAGGGCTAGAGTGCTGCTCTGTGGAACCTGGGCCTCAGGTAAGTAGTGCAGAGGGCTGGGGCTGGGACACTGGTGCTGAGGGTCTGCTTCAGAGAGGGCTTCTCCACCCCCGTGTCTGGCACCTGAGCTGGGGTGACTGGAGGACAAACTCAGCTGGACTGTGACCCAGAATACCTGCATGTGACCTCCCTGGCATGGCAGCCTCAGGCAGTGGGACTTCTGCACAGCATCTAGGGCTCGAAGCAGGAGGGGTAAGACAAACAAGTCTGAGTCCGCACAGCCTTTTATGACCCAGGTCCGGAAGTCATGCAGCGTCACTTCCACCATAGTCTACTGCAGTCACAAGCCCACCGTGGCTGAAGGGAGGGAGTGAAGACCTCGCCTCTCAATCCAGGCCGTGTCAAAGATGTGTGGCCATGTTTTAAGACCGCCAGGCCTGGAGCAGCACTTCTGCTCTCCCTGCCGTATGTGGCCTCTGAGAAAATGGGTAACCTCTCTGGGCTATAAATTGCCCTTAGAGCAAAGCATTCCACCATGAAAGGAATCAATTCTTCAGCTCTTCCCTGCACACCCCAGCCTCTTAAGGCCCTCCCTCCAAAAAAAAAAAAAAAAAAGACGATAAGTTCCTTTCCAGCAAAGACATTGTCTAAAATCACCAAACGATAAAGTAGAATCTTTGCCACCCTCCCGCCCGTACCCCCGCCCTTCAGGAGGGCCACGTGCACACTGAGCCATTAATAAGGATGCCAGCTGCCACTTTTGGCACCACAGAGGCTGCCCTGTCCAGGTCTGAGGAGACCCAGGCGCTGTGTCAGATCCAGAATTGCCTGGATTCATCAGCACCCTGGTGCCTTGACATCTGACATATTAGAATTCCACTCTCAGCCCAAACATCGTGAGCTTTCATCCCCCCAAAATGGAGTTGCTGCCACCTGCTGCTGCCAGGGCCCTTTCTCCCACCTCTGCTGTCCCTCGTGGATCCAGGGAATCAATGGCCAGGGGTAGAGGTGGGTCATTTCCATGAGCCAAGGGCACCTGGTCAGGCCTCTGCTGTCTGGGGGGTGAATTCCCAGGCTGGGATGAAAGCAAAATCGATAAAAACGGATAATTCCTCCCTTAACATTATTTCTTAAGAAAGTGGGCATAGCCTGCAGTTTAGCATTGTTCAGTCATTGCTATCTAATACCACAGGTAGACCCTGCCCTGGGCCCTGCACGTTAGAGTCCACAGGCAAGGAGGTCAAGGTCAAAGCCAGTGTCCACCTGAGCCCACATCCACCCCTCAAGACCACTCTCCAGGCATGTGGCACCCCAGAATTCTCTGTCCGGAGAGCCCCATCCTGCTGCCATGGCCTGTGCGGGCCTTTGCCCTGGTCAGCTTCTTGCGGGGAAGAAGCCCAGCTGAGCAAACTTAAACAGCTGCTGCCTGGGGTATCCATGTACATAGGTGGGGGGCAGGTTGGAGCCAGGGTGGGGTGAGCAGGGGGGTAGGTCATGGGCAGAGCATTCGTATACTTGTCTGGGCATATGTTAGGGGTAGGCCTGCTGGTGCCATCCCCTGGGACAAGGACTAAATCTTACATCACCCTACCCTCCAGAATACAAGCTCCCCACGAGGACATAAGCATCGTGAGAAAGGGACTTTATTCTTTGTATAGTGTCTGGTGCACGTAACCTACTTGTTGAGTGCAGGAATACATGGTTCTTCTTATCCCCTTCGCCATCCATGTCGCCCTGGATGGTCAGGAATTGTTAAATGAACATCATGGGGTGTAACAAGCAATACTTCGAGGGCTAACATTTGACCTTTCAGTGGCCAACAGGCAACAGGCGAATCATGAGTCAAAACTGCAAGAAGCTAAATCCAGATTTCCTGCCCTTGGCCATCTAGGAAGCACATCCTGAGCCCCTGCCACATGTAGAGGACACAGCCTCACCCAGTGCGAACCCCGGTTCCTGCTCCATGTATGGACCAGCACTGCCATGTGCTAATGGCAGCGATGGGCTATACAACATACTATCAAGGCATGGCGGGTGTCAGGGAGGTGAGGTTGAGCTGATCGTCAAGGGTGGGTAGGCATTTTCCAAAGGGGAAGGGGGAAAAGTGACTTCAGGCAGAAGTGGGAAACCCCATGATCTTCAGAAGTAGAGACTTTCGAGTTGAGGGAGTCTGAAGTGAGCAGAAAATAGACATGGGTGGTAGAGAGTAAGAGGGCGTGATAGGGGGAAGCTGGTGGTCCCTCTCCTGGAAGATACCACAGGTTACTTAACTGCTAGCTGGAGGTGGTGGGAAGCGGATTCCTGTTTTCTCCATCCCTAAGCCATTGCTTCTTGCCTAGGGTTAGGGCTTACTAGGACTAGGCATAGCCAGAGGTGACCCAGGTGGTCTGCCTCCAGTCAGGTGAAGGCCCAGGTAGGCCACAGAAAAAGTCCCAGGTTCCCTGAGGAATATTCCAGGCTGCTGAGGGGCATCAGGAAGTGGGTGTGGGGGACTGAAGGTGAGGAATACTCCAGGCTGCTGAGGGGCATCAGAAAGCGAGTGTGGGGGACTGAAGGTGAGAAATACTCCAGGCTGCTGAGGGGCATCAGGAAGCGGGTGTGGGGAACTGAAGGTGAGGAATACTCCAGGCTGCTGAGGGGCATCAGGAAGTGGGTGTGGGGGACTGAACATGATGCAGTCATGTTTAGGTCCGCCTCATCCTGTCAGAGGAGGGACAGCCGTCTGGCCGGAAGTTTTCAGCACCTGTGCCCTGTCACCCCAGGTTGCCCCAGAGAGAGGGCAGTCCTCTCGTGGAGTCACCTGGCCATTCCTTTCCAGTCATGCTCTGAAGCCCAATCAAACCTAGCATTTGCACCCAAATTCAAACCACCCCATCCCTCTGACCTACGTGAATTTGCCTTTCACGTAAGGCCTGTAGCCTTCAACCTCAGTAGGGTACAGGTCTGGGGATACTGTGGCCCAAGCCCCAACACTGGAGGTTCAGAGGACCCATGACACAATCTTTTAAATCTTAGATGTCACAGCTTCTCTATCTTTTTTTTTTTTTCTTTGTGTAAATAATTCACTCTTGTGTGTGCTTTGTGGAGTTCAAACAGACATTTCTGATTAAATTTTCCAAGCACTATAGTTTTAATTTTTTCTTAGATCTTTGTTTTTATGGATTATAGAAACCCTAAACCCTTAGATGAATCAGCTTGTTGCAGCTGATGCTAAAACCTAAGATTACACCAAAAAAAGGTTTCTATTTCTTCTAACTGTTCATTATCTATGGGTTCCGTACTGTGGGGGAAATCCATGATCCTTACCACATTTATGAATAGTGAATAATAAAAAAATAGTGAGACAAGAAAGCATGCTTATCTTAGAGCTGGCTGTATTTCCAATCTGTTATAATATTGAGACACTAAAAGCAATATTTCCTGTCTAGGAGGAAATTTGCATTTCTATAAACTCATTGAGCCTGCCCCAAACAGAGTAAGAGGGCTGTGAATAATTTTTAGAACCGTGCTTTGCTTGTACTTTATTAATA